ATCTTCTCACTTAATGCTCAGAAACATGCAAGAGGAACAGTATTACAAGTTACCAAGCTGAGACTTAGAAGATTTAAATCTCTAAGTTCTCACAGAATGTAGGTGGCCAGCTAGTACTAGAGCCCAAATCTTTGCACATAGTCTTAGGAGAAGATTCTAGAAGTTTATCCTTTTTTCAAATAAAACCACAAAAATATATAATTTTATAAAATCTGAGTGTCCTTTTCCAGGGTTTTGGAGCACTGGCAGGCAATGACCTGGTCTTCTCCCCTCACATTTATCCACGTTCTCATCTACTCATGCATACCACGGACACGGGTATTGGTCTGTCTCCCCACAGGGATGGGCCACTGTTTCTGTCTCACATGCAGGCTGGGGAAAAAGAATCAGGCTTTTTAACGATACACATGAGGGAGACAAGCATGTCTAAAAAGCCATAACTGTGGACTAGCACATGATCATGAGTATGGGTGTGTCTATGTACAAAATGATTTTTAATCAATTTTGTTGAGAAATAAATAGCAATGAGACAGTTTCAAAACAGGTTAGTAGGACAGGTAAAATAATTAATACATTGTATATTGTTGTCTTAATAGTAGTTATTCATAGTACAAGATGAAGACATGATATCCTGTCCAAACACTATTTGTACATATCTTCTCATTGAATTGAGAAAGTATCTGTATATCTATCCTAACCATTTTGTATATATAGATAGAAAATGGTCTTTAATTTATATCCCTCTTTTTGTTGAGTTTATTCAGAGATGGGTATTTCACTGTCATTTAAATATTGTACGTGCATGAATTCAGCAAAATAAAGCAATATAGTCCAGTAGTCCATAATAGTAGTGGGTTATCCATAGTACTGGCAATTTCAGAAGTTGGTGACTTGACCGTTTTACAGCTTAGCATATTAATATGGCTTTACTTTTTATACCTCGTTTTTACACTTTTCTGCTGGATGGTTAAGGCCAAGATAAAACAAGACATATATGACAAGAAATGTAACTTTTGTATCTGACAAGGTCAGTCAAATTCCCTCAGGATTTACCCTGAAACCCTGTACCACAGTTTGTGGATTCTTTGTCAGTGTCAGCCATGTAACATCCTGTAACTCAGTGGTGTCCCAAATCTTCTGATCAAGGAGACTATGGGACCACGGAAGAAAGTGACCAACGATGTATAATGTGCCTAAGGAGAGTCACCTAGAGAGAAAACATTCTCTTAGGCTGTCACAGAGAGCAAATTGGTCAAGCAAGGGCTGTGACTCATCCACATGGCTGACACTGTCAAAGGATATGCACAAATGTGCATGCATGTTTATGGCTGTATTTTCTTCTCAAGGAAGACAATCATGAATTCAGCCAGTCATTTTTTTGTTTGTTATCTGTTTGGTCCTGGGAATCAGTTCCAATGCTCAACCCACACTTGACAGATGGCACTGTGCCATTGAGCTACATCCCTCATCGTAGCCATTGGATTCTTTTTTTTTCTCTTGCTGTATTTTTTCCATAATTTTATTGAGAAACAAATGAGACAGTTTCAAACCAAATTGGGAGGACAGTTTCAATAATTAACACATTGCATACATTCTTCCTAGTGATTAATTGCTTCACAAGATGTGGACATGATATCCCATTTACAAACACCATTAGAACAAATCCCTCTATTCATTAAGACAATGTAACTATATATCTATCGTAACCAATTTGAATTAACAGATACAAAATAGACATTCATCTGTATACCCTTCTTTTGTTAAGTTCCATTATTTGAATATTATAGGTGTGTAAATTCAGCAAAATATTCTAAAAGAGTCCAGTAGCCAATAATAGTATTGGGTCTTCCGCTTGACTGGCAATGTCAGAAATTGTTGACCTGAGTCCCCTAGAGCTCAACATAACAGCATGGCTCTTTACTTCTTATACTTCGTTTTTATACTTTTCTGCTGGATGGTTAAGACCAAGGTAAAGCAGGACCTATGCAACAAGAGTTGTAGCTTTTG